CCCCTCTGCCTGTGTGCAGCCTGCACTGGCCCTCCCAGGCCCTCCCCCAGCCTCCCGTGAGATTTGTCTAAAAGATCCCTTTGGGGGGATAGATAAAAAGGAAACAAGTCCTTAAGGAGTCAAAGGAGAAATGTCACCTGAAGCAGGAAAAGGAGGCTAGGCCTGAGCCCACAGAAAACCCCCAATTCTATCAACAGCTACCAGACATGGTGGCTTCTATCCCTCTAGCTAGTGCCTGCAGCTTAGTTGAGAAGGGCATGGTTAAGTGGGGATGAGTGTGTGTGTGTGTGTGTGAGAGAGAGAGAGAGAGCGAGAGAGCAAATGAACATTGAAACCAGTACGGTAAAGTCTTGCTGGTACTTTAAATTCACTGGGTCTTCGTGTATTCCAAAGAATTTGATGTTGTTTCAGTGTTCGGTTGAAAGTGATTTGTGTGTGCTTCTCATTATTCCTGACTGTTGACAAGGGCTGTGAGTCTCGTCTGTCCTAGCTACAGCTATCTAGGAAACCCAGGTAGAAAGCAAGAGGAGCTTACAAGATCTGCCTGCCTTTACAGGCTGAGAGTACATGAGTAAATGACTATAAGCCACATGTAACAACAACTCCTGGGGGGGAGATCTTCCCTGATATCGAGGTCACTGCCAAGAAAACATGTCTCCTTGGACATGATGTCCTGAAACAGACTGTCCCTCGATCTCAGGGAATCTTTTCTGAATACTTCAATACAGTATAAGACAATTCTTTTTTAGAATTAATTCTAGGGAGGCACTTTAAAAAAGAATATATTTAATAATTTTTACAGAATGGGTGTTGGACAGCTGTGTATTTTCTTTGCTTCTTGTTGCCTCATAATGATACAAGTAATTAGCATTTTCACCAGAGATTGAGACATAGGAATTGTTTTTGCTGAATAGAAAGTAAACTACAAAGCATCAGTATTGTGATTTGTTTAGTTAATGTTGCCCTCTTTTGCAAGTCTGGTGACAAGCATTTTTTAAATGGAGACATTTGAGCAGAGGTCTGTCAATATGGATTGTTCTTATTGATTTACATCTATAGTAAATCCAGTAATTTTTCTCCTACAGCTGAGAGAGTGAAAAAAGAGAATCTCAACATAGTTTGCATACCTACATCTTTCCAGGTAAATTCTTCTTTTTAAAAATTTATGACCATTACTGGGTGAATTGCAGTTCTCATCTTGGAATCTACAGTTCAGATTTCTAAATTCCATTTAATTCATGGGGACTGATTTCTGAGCAGACCTAAGTCTCTTCTAGCCATCCCATCCACGTCTTTCTTTGTCTAGCTCTCTCTGTGTCACTTACACACTCATATAGTACATTCCCTTTCTCCTTAACCTTAATGAGTCTGCAATGGGGCAGGAAGGAAAATCTAGAACTGAAGAAAGGGGGAAATCCCATAGTTGGAGGTCCCGTAGTCAAACCTAACAGAGTATTACAAGAGGTTGTTGGGCTCTTGAATCAGCATTTGCCACTTCTGTCTCCCAGTCTCAAAGCTCAGGTAGATCACACATGGATGAGTCTGTGTGTGGACGAGTCTTTGAGGCTCAGGACTTAAAGCTTAGGAGAAGTCAGTGACAAGAACAAACCATAAGTTGCCTGTAACGTATCTGCCCCAGCCATCTGTTTCTTCATGGAAAATGGTGCATCTGTGTACACATGCACATACATATACAGTTTTTATTGGCTTTGATTTTATAATGTGAGTGAATCACTTTATTTGCCAAAGACTATGACAAGATACATACAAATAAAACAGTTTTAAAATAGGAATAACAATAAAATAATACTTCCAATCAAATTATTGAAATATTTTTATAAATACAGATAGTCCACGGGTTAAGACAACCCAGGTTACAGACAACCCATAATTAAGAATGGAGCCTATTGTAGCAAAATTCAAGTTAAAAACACAATGATTCGAGTTAAATACACAATGGTTCGAGTTCCTCACACAATACTACTTATACGGTATTATACAATAATACCATTCTGGCTTACATATGAATTCGACTTAAGGACAGACCTTGGGAACAGAACTCGTTCTTAAACTGGGGACTACCTGTACTGAGAAATAATCTTACCTTTTAATTTCTCTATAGGCACGTCAGTTGATTCTGCAGAATGGGTTAACCTTAAGTGACTTAGACAGACATCCTGAGGTAAGATGATTGAATTGTTCTTAAATTCTTTGTCCCACCGTACAGTTCTCAGTTAATGCTTTTTGGTGATTTTAGTATGGATCTAATCATCAACGGGAAAGAAAATAATAGAATATTTAAAATCTTGACTCTGTGTCCAAACAAAACTAAGTCGAAGGCGACTTGTTTCCTCCCCCCCAAAAAAATCACTGCACCAGCATTCACAACTTTGTACATAAATATCTTTCTAGGAATACATTATCACCATTGGCAGTAATCCAACCACAATTCATCCAAAGCCTTTCATAAACGGATAATGCCAAATATTCAGAATATAATTTAATAACACATTGAGATATTTAAACCTTAATTTTCTTCCAGAGAATCTGGTTCACCATAATATTCATATCCAGCCAATAAGGAACTGCCAATAAATAGAATTGATAATTAGTATTGTGCATGCACATTCTCTCTCTATATATTAGCCTTGATACATTGTTCATTTTCATCACATTTATTCTACCTCACAAATTTAGGGATATTTTTGTCTATCTCTTAATGTCTCCTTTGATCTAGTTAATACAGTTTTAAATATTTATCTCCACTAAATGGATACTTTCATAGAGATTGTAATTCCCAGGTATTTGGTAGATTCTGAACAATAGACAAATCCTAAATCTTTACTAACAGAAACTTCACTTCCAATAGATGACTTGATATAAGAATGTAGTAGAAACAAGGATGGTTTGCAAGGATAGAAAGTTATAGTGAATGTCGTTGGCGTAAACTAAATTTAGGTGGTTTTTTAAAAAACTCTAATGTTTGCTTTATTTTGTATATTACTACTTACTCTTTTTCTGTGCTTTGGCAATGTTACTTACTCCAAAAGGGAATAGCATGATGGTATATCTGTGTCTATGTTGATGGCTTAGAGCACTCAGAGGACAGTCTTTCCCCAGTATGTCAATATGTGTAGTGGGGTGGTCATCTTAAATTCCCAGAATTGCTCTTTGGTCATGTTGGCTGGATATTCTAGGAGTTGTAGTCACAGGATATCTGAAGGACAATAGAATGGATAAGGCTACATTAAGATAATCATTGGAAGCCTTTCCATGGATGTCAGCTCTTTCCGACTAGAGATGTGAATCCTCACAGGGTATTAACGTAGTGATGGTGGTCTCTTTTGTAGAAAACTTCCCAGGGAGGCTCCCTGGAACCTACTTGTTTCATTTTAGAACCAGATAAAGAAGTCTTCCTACCTACCTGCCCTTTAAATATCAACTTTGTTAATCTAGCTAATTTATCATATTGTTGCCTGTCATAATACTTCCACTGCTTTTACCATTCCTCTTAGATGTTACTGTTGCCTGGTTCTCGATAGATGTAGCTACCACCCCAGAAACACTTTCTACTAGGCCTGGGCAGGTCATTCAGCAAGATTATGCTGGCTGCTCTGTGGTTCTATTTTTATTTGTTTTAATATTATGCATTGTGTATTTTGTGTGTGTGTGTGTGTGTGTGTTTTTATCGTAAGCCACCTAGAGTCACGTAAAAGTGAGATGGGTGGCTATATAAATCAAACGAACGAATGAACAAATGAATGAATGAATGAATAAGAAAGACACAAGAACCTCTTGTGCCCAGAAGACTGTTAAAGCAGCCACTTGACTTTTCACCTTTGACAAGCAGATCCACAGGGCTGCCTTACTGAAAGATCTGCATAGGCCTACTTTCCTCACACTAGAAGTGTTTTGTGTATGTATTATAAATTGTTCTTTTTTATGTAGTTGAATGTTGCTATTGATGGGGCTGATGAAGTTGACTCAGACCTTAGTCTTATCAAAGGAGGAGGGTAAGAAATAATTTCTAATTCTGCGTTCATAGATAAAGTACAAAATGGATAAGTAGATATTATCAACTAGATAAAATATCTGAGGTGATCTCCAGTAGTATATACAGGTTTTGATCTGAAAGATATAATTCGTAGGTTTGTAAGTTAAATGTCTCATTATTAAATTGCTGAAAGTAAATTGTAATTGTTGCTGTGGTTAAAAGATAATCTATTTTCTGTTGAATTCTTGTAACAAGGAATTAAAAAGAGTACCTGGAATATGGATTTTCCTTCTAACAATATTTGCTTGAATATATACATAAATGCATTGAAGCTCTGGGGAATATACAGAAGAATATACAATTAGAATGATGAAGTGGGAAGATGTTGCTGTTGGGGCCTCATTGTAAAGGCTAAATGTTCTACTGCTGGCTCTTTCTGCATTGTTGAAAGAATTAGCAAGATGACCCAAGGAAACTGTCTTACCTCAAGATACACCTCTGGTCTATGTGGCCAAATCTTTTCTGAAATAAGGCGTACATCAAAACCCAACAGATTCCAGTGTGTGTTGATATTGTGTGTATAGAATCCTTTCCTGCAGATTTAGAAACAAGAGAAATAGTTGGAAAATGCAACCTAGTTTTGCCCCTTCAAATAAAACTTTTGAAAATTCCTCTATTTTTGCTCTGTTTATGAAAATAAAGTTCTAAAATGACATCTGTAAAATAGCAAGAGTATGAATAATTTTTTTGAGCTGCTAGGAAATGGAAACTAGCATTGAATATTATTTTGCTTTAAAAATGAGAGAGAATTTACAGAAATATTTGTGTGGATTTTTTTTACAAAAATAACTGTACCCCAAGCAGTTTTCAATGTCCATCCTTAAAAACAGCTTTAGGAATTAGTGTAAGCTTAAGAAAAGTGTCACATCTTGTAGCTTCAGAGATACTGTCTGCCAGCCTGTGCATAGTTCAGTAACTTTTACTGCCTTCGTTGGAATTCAAGTGCTCTGTCAGGGCAGAAGTGCAGAAACATGTTCAGTAAATATTACCTTTTCTGTTGCTGGGGTCAACTATTTGGATGGCGTGTGTGTACTGACCCTGTTATATGTGTAACCTATCATTATTTTGTTTTGGAGATGATGAATGATCTCATTTTTGTTTTTTTGTGAAGACTTGAGTACAGTGATGAATTAATATGATTTGTGGGTAAAGGAAAATAAAATATGCTTGGATTTAAATTTGGCATTCAACCTGCGGATTTCTTTGTGTAAGTAAGCTTGCAAGTTGTTCTCTTTTCCTTCAGGGGTTGCTTGACACAGGAGAAGATAGTGGCTGGTTGTGCAAAAAGCTTCATAGTTATTGCAGATTACAGGTAAAATGATCTACCACTCCTTGTTGCTGTTTCCCTTTTCAGGAGCTGAAGAAAGGGCTATATTTATTCATAGTGGGTTTTCACCTGAATTTGTATCAGAATGATATATCCAGTCCAGTTTTACTTGTTCTCAGAGATGTTACATTATGTCATGTCCCCATGTGTGAGGTGTTACATGACCTCCGTGTAACATTCTCTGTTTTTACACAGTGTATATCCTGTGTGGTGTTTTTACTTTCTATAAACCACCAGGAGGGAATACATGGCCGGTTTCGTTCTCTGCTGGGCCAGGTCAGATTTGTCTGGCTACGTACATCTGATGCATCCCCGTATAGGATGAAGCCAGTCACATTCTGCTTCCTGGTGGTCTCTATAAAGTAAAAACACCTGAGCTTGTATGCAGCTTCACAAATATGTAGACTATATGCCTCATTCATTATGTATTATGTAATAGTACCAATATTAAGCAGTACGTATTTATTATGTATGTAAAATGTTCTCACACTGATGTATTGTTGCCTTGCTTACTCTGCTGCGTCTCCCCTAACACTCTGTTGTATAATGAATGGCTCATCCTCTCAAAACAGCTCAGATGTTTGTTAGATCATCAGCACTGTCCTGTGTAGTCACGCACACAAATCTGAAATCCTGTATCATCTGGTGAGCAGTTGCGTGGTGTTGTTTAAAGGCAAAGTCTTCTGGCTTTCAGGAGTAGAGTCAGGATGTCCTGGCAAGTTGAAGCTTGTTTACAGCTTCCTGATGTTATTGCTATCATCTTCAAAAGAATAACATTTGCTGTGATATTAATGCACATCTTGTTTTAACCCATGTTCTTGTAGAAAAAAGTCTAAAAACCTTGGAGAACAATGGAAGAAGGGGATTCCTATTGAAGTCATCCCAATGGCCTATGTCCCAATCACCAGGCTTCTGACCAACAGGTTTGGAGGTGTTACAGAGCTGAGGATGGCTGTCAATAAAGCTGTACGTATAAATTAAGAAGGTTGATAATTTGGATGATGTTGGTGTATGGAAACAATTACTGTTTCTTCTTGCCTTTTTAGGGTGGGTGGGCAGGTAAACTTTTGCTATTAATAAATTATTAGCACAATTCAAAGAGCTGAGACCAAGCTATATTTTCTCATCTCCTTTCCATTTGCAGGGAGGGATATATTGGCATCTTGACAATTTTGCAAATGGAGACAGAGAACCTGTAGTGTTCCTAATGACATGCACAGGAGCACCACTGCTGTTGAACAGCAAATCTTCTTGAGAGATCAGAAGTCTATCACAGCCTCCCCAAGTTCAAGCCAAATGCTTATTTACAATGGAATTTTAGCTTGAGAATAATTTTAACCAGCCTTTGCCAGCTCTGTGCCCTCCAGATATTTTATTTTATTTTTGAAATTTTTAACCTGTCCAATGGCCAAAGCTCTCTGGAAAGGTTACAGTAAAACACACTAAAATACAATTTGAATAAAAACATATATAATAAGCATTTTTTAAAATACAAAATAAAAACACCATGTGAATAGGCAGCAGCATAGCAGTCATTCAAAAACTAAGAATTAAAAGCCAATTAAAAAGCCTGAACAAATAGAAAGATCTTCATCTAGTGCTGAAATTATGCTAATGTGGGTGCCATTTGAGCCTCTCTGGGGAGGGAATTCCATAAAAGGGGTGCCACCACAGAAAAATCTCTCTGCCTTGGAAAGATCCACCTCGCCTCCTTTGGTGAGAGGACTTATAGGAGGGCCTCATTAGATGATCTTAAAGTCTTGGTAGGTACATATGGGAGACTGTGCTCCTTCAGGAGATTTCAGGTCCATAATTTCAAGTCAATTTGATTTAGAATTATGAGGATTGAGACCCAACAAATCTGGAGGCCACAGGTTTGAGAAAAGCTGGTTTTAAATTTTAATTTTTAACTTTCCAGAGTAGTAATTCCATTAGTTGGTAGAAGTTGGAGCTGAGAACTTTTGGGATTTTGAGGATTAACTACCTTACCATGCATAAGCTTTTGAACTGCAGCCTGTGGCAATAAATAGTTTAGAATGGCCGAGATAATTTAGCATCATTGTTTGATAAGCAAAGAGGATAGGTATTCTTGATCTGTATGTTTGCTTTTTGTTCTGTTGTTTTTTGGCAAAGAGTTACAGAAAACTAACAAACCTGGGTATGACTTTTTTCCCCTGCAGGTTAGTTTTAGATAAATTAATGTTCACATGCAAGTCTCTGTGTATCTAATATGATTTATGGCTTAAAATAAAAGGTCTTGCACACAATATGTTTACTTTTGCTTTTTAGGGTCCTGTGGTGACAGACAATGGGAATTTTTTATTGGACTGGAAATTTGATAAAGTCCATAACTGGAATGAAGTGAATATGGCAATCAAGATGATACCAGGTAGTCTTCATATACTATTTGGTTTTAATAGTGCAAAGGATTAATTTGTAGGTCTTTGAATTATTACTGTCAGAAGCAAGTCAGGTATATTGTCTTTCTAAGGACACATGTGTTCAGTGTCTTAAGATTGGAGCAAAATTGAGACTTTCAAAGATTAAATTTATCCTTTTGATTTAGTTCTATAAAGTCTGTAGCAAAATAAGAGATAAAAATGTGAATTCTTCAAATTATAACCAAAGGCTGGAGGAGAGTTAATGATGGATTTGAGAACATTGGTGCATTCAGCAGGTGGCAGTATTGTTTCACCAAAGAAAGCCATGTCAGAGCAATGCAAAATTCAGTGTTTTCCCTCATTTTCTCATTTTACTTATGTCTGGAGTCTTAATTGGTACTGGGCGTAGTTGCTGACTTTTTACAATATGAGCTAGATAATTATCTGTAAAATAATCCCTTATTTTATGCGTGGGTGCTCTGAGTATTATGGGTGGTAAGGGAACGTGCTTGTTGATAGAAGCGCTCAGTCTAGTCTCTGGATCAGTATTTCTCAACCTCGGCAGCTTGGACTTCAACTCATGGCTGGGGAATTCTGGGAGTTGCAGTCCATGCCTCTTCAAGCTGCCGAGGTTGAGAAACCCTGCTCTGAATAGCGCCATGGCATAAAAGCTCAGCCTGCTTCTTCTGTATAACCAGCATGGAGCGATTTTCAAATGGGCATCAGAAAGCTTCCCTTGTGCCTTGTCTGGCTTTAGTCGTTCATATTCTGAGGCAGCAGCTCTTCTCGTTTCTTTTGCTTCTCTTTTCCTATGAGAAAACTAGTGAGATACATGCGGGGAAAAAAGGATGATAGCAAATGTCAGCTTTGCCAGGAAAAAGGATGCTTTTGCTTCTAAATGATCCCAAGATGAACTATGTTGAAACAGAGAGAGGGAGAGAAAATGTATCAGTATGTCTCTTGACTCCTCTTCCCCTTCTTACCCAAGGCCATAGAAAAGAGGGGCCCCTGGCGCAGTGCTTCTCAACCTCAGCAACTTGAAGACATGTGGACTTCAACTCCTAGAATTCCCCAGCTTGCTGGCTGGGGAATTCTGGGAGTTGAAGTCCACACAGAGTTGTTGAGGTTGAGAAATACTGCCCTGATATATGTAGTGTTTTAATACAGGGCTTTTGTTTTTGAAGCTTTCAATATACTTCATCTCAGTTGAATTTGTATTGTTGTAAGGGGTGGTGAATATTTTTTAAGGTGCAATACTTTAGTAATAATTAAAAGTAATTGAGCTTTTCTGGTCTAGGAGTGGTGGAAACAGGTCTCTTCATCAATATGGCAGAGCGAGTTTACTTTGGCATGGAAGATGGCTCTGTCAGTGTGCATGAGAAGCCAGTCCACTGATTTCTCTCAGCTCCTCAGATCCACTCTGCTGTCTTACAGTTCTGTCGAATTATCATTCTGATGCCAGCCTGGCAACTTGCCTTAAAGCATTCAGTCTGGATCTCAGTGAATGGAATAAACGGTCCAGGGAATGTCATCTTAAAATCTATTTTTTTTCATGTAATTTTTTTAAAGAGGTCATAATTTTGAATGTTTCAAACTTTTTACTTTTTATATAAATAATTTACCAAAAAAGTTACTTTGTGCAGTACAATATTTGAATACTTTGACTGCAGTGCAGTGTGAGGGGAAGAAAGTAAATGACATGTGCAATGTGCTTAAATCCAAAAAGCAAGAAGTATTTATGTAAAAGGGCTGTATCCTGCTAGAAACCTTTTTTGTTCTATATTTTATGCCTTTAAAATGATTTTTTTAAATCACAACTTTTAATTAGAGAATGTCTTGTTATATTCTTTACAATCCAACTAATGTTTCAGCAATTGACTTTTGTAACCTGAATTGAATGTTAAGTTCTGCTTAGAACTGATTAATCATATTTTGCATCTCCTTAGTTATTCACATGTTGCCATGATAATTAATGTGTGAAAAACAGACTATGTGCCTGGACTGGCAAATTGTTTTAAGTCCTAGCCAGTGTCATTGACACCAGTAAATAGTGGCTTGAATTTATCTATGATATCAACACTGTGTGGGTGAGCCACATTTTTAAATGTTTCTGGAATAGCATGGAAAAAGTCTTGCCACAAAGTTTGCCAGGCCATGAATAATGTATGGATTAGTCAAAATTTTGATGTGTAAGTTCAGTACTCCGTTATTTGTTCCTAGTAGCAAAAGATTCTAGTCTATTTTAACAGTCATTTATGGACATAATTTGGAGTTCAGTTCTTACTAAGAATTGTTAATCCTTGTATGGTGATATTAAACAAGATGCTGTAACTAAATGCAGGCAAAAAATGGATCTTCTTGGATGAACTAAATGTAGCAAGAATAAGGCACTTAATTGTGTCATATTTCATTTCTAAATGCTTTGCATGGTCAGAAATATGACTCTGTACTTCATCTGTTGCAGCACTTAAATAAAGTGCTGCAGTGCCAACCATGTGTTTGTATCTTTGAATGCCTTCCTGGTTGATTTTATAAAAACTGCCTTGCAGGATAAGTCAAGTGGATTTCCTTTCTCCATCCTCCGGCTTTAACGACAGCCAGCTTGATATTGTTAGAAAACCACAAATAGGACATAGAAGTGATAGGTCATCCTTAGTTGTTCTTTATTCCTTTAATGCATCCAATGCAAAAAGTCATTCTCCTGTCTTTTTAGTGTATTTTAATCCTACAATTGTTTTTCATTTAATTATTTTAATAAAACAGATAAAAGATAAAATAGCTGAAATAATAAAAAGAGTTTGGGCCTATAATTCCCAAGTAAGTGGGCAGAATCCTCAGGACTGCTAATCTGACCACTTCTTTATTAGATCCATGCCCTTCCCAGGAGGTGATGTATAGCTAGGTCTAGCTGTAGTGTCAGCTTCTTTAAGGGAGGGGATGATCCTCCCTTAAAGAAGCTTATGACCGGTTACAGCATCCCATGGTCACGTGATCACCATTTGAAACCTCCCCTGCTGGTTTCCCACAAGCAAGTCAATGAGGAAGCTGGCAGGGAGGGGTCGCAAGTCGTTCGGGTGTCTCCCCCATCCACCCTGGCCTTTCTTCGTATGGACACACTGCACCCTCCTTCCCCTCTTCGCTTGCTCCACACACCCACCAGGTTTTGGGTAATAAAGGAAAACGTTTGGGAAGCACTGCTCTAAAGGAACAGAAAAAGTCATGCTTACGTTTCATCTCTACCCTGGTCCGTAAAACATGTGGACTTCAACTCCTAGAATTCCCCCAGCCAGTATGCTGGCTGGGGAATTCTGGGAGTTGAAGTCCATACATCTTAAAGTCACCAAGGTTGAGAAACACTGCTCTTGGTATTGGAGTGTATCACTGTAGAGAGGAGTTCGGTCGCTTTGCTGATAGTAATAATCGCCAGCGTCCTCAGCTTTGATTCTGCTAATGGTTAAGGTGAAATCTGTCCCGTACCTGCTACTACTAAAATAATCTGAAACTCCTGTGGCAAGATTATGCCCTTCATATGTGAGGAGTTTGGGAATTGGTTGGGTTTCTGCAGATACCAGTTAATATCATTGTCTATGTCAGTGTTCGCCTTGCAGTTAATTGCCACTGTATCTCCAATGGATACAGAGAACAATCCTAGAGATTGAATCAGCTGGCCTTGCCCAGTGGTGTCTAGATGAAGGGTGGCAGGAGAAACAAGATGGGTCACCATGTTGTAGTTTTAAAGAAAAATCATCACTATGATTTTTTTTTCAAATATTAAAATTAATCATAGCTTGATGTTGTTATTCCCCTTACCTTGAAGCCACAGCAAGAAGCTGATGTAAAGGAGCTTGGAGAAGTACATGGTGCTGGTTCCCTAGCAAAGGTAGTCTGTGCCTGTCCCAGTAGGCACCAGCTGATTTATAGTCACTTATGTCCCCATTTACTGCGTGGACCTAAAGAGGAAAGTATTGCTGTTTTCTAGAAATATTGCATGGAGCAATATTTATCACAAATATGCAGTGGACATCCACATCAGATGGTTCAAATGACGACATATAAATGTCCAGCTTTTTTTTTTTAATGTCTGTGAGAGAGAGCTGCAGTATCATTGTTCTACTCCTTAAGTCAGACTGCTTCCTATCATACTGTTTCTTATACAGTCCCTGGTTCCATTCTATTTTTCATTTTGTTCTCCGTTGACGTGCTATTTTTCAGAATAACATGCAAGTAAAAACACTCATAATGAGTGCCACAGTTCTGTTAGGTAAGTTCTGCCCTGTTTTCAAACTTTTCTGATTCTTATATGACAAGCAATAAATTTTTAAATCAAACTTTTCTTCCAAGTTCATTCATGTGAAACTTAATTGGAATTCCACTTGTTCAGCACATCTAAAGGGATTTGGATATCTTATCATATGATAGGATATATTATATGGGATTACTATCCCTCGCTTTTACAGAACCTTCTCTTCTGAACACCCCTTAAAAGTAAAGCATAAATGTGTACTTTGCATTATAAAGTAATAAAGTAAAATAAGTAAAAATTGAAAACTGTCCATTGGCCCTAAAAGAGGGAGTGTGACTGAGCCACTTTGCTTAGTAGTAAAGAAAGGCACTTTTAAGATATTAATTTGTTTAGGCTTTTCTTTATTCTGCATTAGCCTTGGGCCTTTTTCATAGGTTTACTGGAGCCAGTGAAACGATGCTTATTAAGATCATATAAAAGAAAACAAAAATCATGTGGCTGCTCTTGCATAAATTCATTTGCTCAAGTCTCAAAAAATTGCTCAGCATGAACCCTGGGAAAGTAATAGAATGAGTGATAATTTCCTCGAACAGTTATAGCTAGTTGCAAGTTATGAGCCCCAAAGCCAAAAAGATAACTTCCTTTTTTTTCTGTTTAATGCAAAATGAAGAGAATGGTTACTGTTTGATGAACATGTCTTTTCCTTAAAATTTAAGAAAGAAATCTATCTCATATGATTAGAAACGTGCCATCACCATTGACATTATGAAAGTTCCATTAGATTCTTTTAGATAAAAGAAATTAAGACTGGTATATCTGTAGTTAAAAGTGCTGCTTACAAAACCGCAGAACCAGTACTTTTCATAAGTGGAGACACAGGGCAGTTGTCACAGGTCATTTATTGTTATTGCTAGAAAACAATGAAGTTGCTCAAGAAAGGAAAATTGTTTTCCTTAAACTTAGATGATCATCCCTCATCTAAAGACTTCCCCAACTTTCAGCTGTTCTAATTGCATCTTTATAGCTCATTGGCTATAGTATTTCAATAAAAGTTTTTTTTAAACACTTAATATCATCACACAAATGATGTAAATCACCATAGGTGTCACAAAACTAAAATAAAATTAATATATATTTAACCACCTCAACTAGATTAATGTGAGTGCAAAGGACTTATCATTTTCTGGAGGATGTCTGGATAGAAATTTGGTCAATTGCATCTGAAATCCTCTAAATGGAAGCTCCTTAAATTGAGGTGTCCTTGTAGCTTTATCCTGTTTCCTTCCATCCCTACAGTTCTTTTCTGTTTGGCAATCAGATGTCTGCGTATGTGAGTGTGTGAGCCAGCACCTGATGGGGGTTAGGAAAGGATACTGAGAAGAAAGAATATGTTTTTTTCTGCCTCCTAGGTCACTCTTAAATGTCTGAAAACCAATTTATGATTTTATGAACTTGTTATATGGATACTGAAAAATAAGCTTGTATTTTAAGCTGCCAAAATGATTAAGAAAAAAGACATTAATGCATAACATGAAGACAAGCATGGGACCTAGAAGGACAAGAAATGATTTTTCAGAAAAAGCTACAAGATTTCAGAAATTCCATATAACCCAAAAACATGCATTGAATTGGAAGCTAGTATTTTTCAAGGTTCTTGCCTCCTCCTCACTGACAAAATAATTATCTGAAGGGGACGCAAAGTTTCCCCACTCTACCAAAGTTAGTGTAAGGCTTCCAAATACATCTTCATATTGTAAAAAAATATTAATCACATGGGTCAATAACAGAGATATATTTCATTTAAAGAAATATTTCATGTACAAAGCAGCGACAATGTCTTTGTATGGAGTATCTGAATCAGACTTGGTCCGAGGTAGGTGGCATAATTTACGGAAAGCAGGAGAGCGCAGCAGAAGGTTGTGCAAAAGGCCTATGAAACTGGAGGATACCCAGTAGAAAGCTAGTATCTGGAAAAAAAGAAAAAGAAAGAAAAAGGAAATTTAAAAAGACATACTAATTTTAACAAAGTGAAAGTAGAATAAAAGTAGTGCAATCCCCAAGTGAACAATAACCTTAACATCCCTCATTATGAATGTCCACAAGTGAAAACCAGGATTTAATAACATTTTATCCCATCTTCCTCCAAGGAATTCAGAGTGCTATACAAGGCTTTATATTCCTCTAATTTTATATTTATAATGTGTTATATATTAGGATGAGGAATAGTGAATAACCCATGGTTCCATGACATCTTACTCAGAATATTTGACTGCAACACTGTGTCCGGCTCTCTCCACACAGGAAGCCATCTTAAAAACTGAGCTTTAGAAAACCATGGTTTACACAGAGCACTTGGAATTAATGATTTTAATACGTCAGAGTTTTTTTCTTCACGGTTAGCATAGTAATTCACAACTGTTTATCACCAGTTTTTCAAAAACCTTAGATCCTGTCCTGACTCAAAAAGACATTCTTTCAAGTAGGTTATTTACATGGCAAGAGAATATGTATAATAATCTGCAGCAAGATTTAATGACTTATTTTATGTCCTCCTAGATGATTTCCAAATTTCACCTGTGGCACACATATCACTAGTTGGGCACCATGGATTTAGTAGATAGAAAATTGGATTTGGTGAAAGGAAGGTTTGAATTCAAAACTCTACTAAGCTATCACACAATGTAGGAAATGCATTTTATAACACCATTATAAGTATTAATAAGTAACAATACCAATGCAGAATGCATATTTTTGCAAAGAAAAAACAAAACATTACTTGTGATTTCCTCTTATTAGAACTTCCAGATCAAGTTGTTCAATGTTGGAAGCAAAGAGCATTTGCAGCTAATATAACACACTGTACTAATGAACTTACTGAAGGGACACTTGAAGCAACGGGGACCATTAGCACAGCCACTGCTCGAAAAAAGTTGGTAGCATACTTCCAAAACGGGGATGGTTCAGTTTTTCTCAAAGCAAAAATCTAGAAAGACAAATTTTATTCTTAGGAACAGCAAGAAAAAATATCAGCTCATATTTACTCAAATATGAGATTCAGATATTCTGGACAAACAAGTTGCTTATCCTCATATTCACATATATCATCTGATACACTTTAGAGTCATGGTATGCCGTACTATGATCAAGGGCTTTTCTTAATGGCAGGGAATTATAAGACAAGATTTAGAGATTTTGATAATTAAATACAATTATAAAAATACAGATATACCACTTATGTAAAACTTCTGTTAACCCACGCAAGATTAGGGCAGGAGGTACTGATGCCAAATAAATAAAGTACAATTGCCAAAACCTATTGCTACTATAATTTTTGTCTGTATTTTTCATGTCCATTTCTTTTCATTAAACAAAAACTGTTAACAGCATAAAATTTGTTTAACCAGTCTTTTGAAATTCACTTACAAAATTAACATTTTAGAATTCCCAATATGATCAATAATCTTTATATCAAACTACTCACCACATTTAAAACTAATGCTCTGTACACACTGCCAACTTAAAGAATTTCCTTTCTTTGGGTGAAATTACTCTACACTCTAGTACTGTGAATGGATTTTGTGGTCACTTGTCTTGAAGTCTCACAATAGGCTCTCATGTTTATGCCAATTATTATTATGACCCAGGATGTCTAAGCTATTTTCAGACTGAGGACTTTAGGTTAACCTCTACAGTATGGAGTAATACAGATCTAACCTCTGACAATGATATCCACACATACTAAACCAGTCAGTTCCTAATGTGGCCACATAAACAATTACAGAGAAATGGACTGCACGTCTGCAAATCAAACCTATGTAGGTAGCCATCTGACAATTTAGTTGGATTATCTACATACAATCTGCTCTGATATATTTTATAATGATAATGATGGAAATTAGGATAAATACTGTCCAGGAGATCTGGAACTAGACAACTTGTTTACAATAACCCTTTCCCTACTGAGGTAACTGAGAAGGACAAGTGAACATGGATCCCCCTTAGACACAGGTAAGCTATTACCTCATACTGGAAGAAGAAGAAAAAAAGAAATGAGTCTTGCATTAAAGATTGCTCCCATAGGTGTTTTTGACAAGAACTGTAGAAATGCTTTCATGAGGTACAGAAAAAAGAGTTGTGTGCCTTAGTTTTTAATAATACAATGGATTAAATCTCAGTGAGCAGAGAATGTCTGCTGAAGGTCCCTATCTATGATGAGGTGCAATAGGAGAGGCATGAAAGTGGACATCGCACAGGGACAATCATTCTTCTCCTTTTGAACAGCTTGCTCCTTAAGCAAGGGGGGCTCCCATTCTCATGGTCTTCCAAAAGCTTGTTACACGAGATTGAGTGGCTATGATTTTGGGAGCAGTTATGGATAATTGTTTTATTATTTTATTATTTGCTGCATCTGTTTGAATACTGTTGCTCTTGTATACCAGTTAGAGTCTTTTTAGATCAAGTTGGTGTATAGATTTTATTCATACCTCATTTTAAAAAAGGAACCTGAGATTTTGGGGAGAAATGAAATCAGTATTCTGAACACAAGGAAAAACTGGATTCCTCAGATAATGCAAGGATATTGCTTTGAACCAGCACTTCAGAGGAAAAGAAAGAAAGGGACACAGATGAGTTCTTAATAACAACTTCTTTGAATGGTTTGAGTCAGCTGCTTATTTAAAATAAAAAACTGGATTCCTCAGATAATGCAAGGATATTGCTTTGAACCAGCACTTCAGAGGAAAAGAAAGAAAGGGACACAGATGAGTTCTTAATAACAACTTCTTTGAATGGTTTGAGTCAGCTGCTTATTTAAAATATTTATATCCAGCTAGACAAAACTTCTGAACCTTCCTCTTATATGCAGGACACTCTTGTGACCACACCTGTATAAAGACATGTCAAGGCTTGGCCAAATTACAGGTATCTGTGTTTAAACACAATAAACAATACTGTTTCTATACTTAATAATGAAATGATTTTACAGTATGCTTATTTGTAACAATACAGGCAACATCACAAATCTAAAGCCAGAATCTTTTCCAATCCTGATATTGTGTACTATACTTGCACTTTTGAAAAAGTTACATTACATTTGCTGGGTGGTCAAAGCTATTTATGCTTTCTTTCCAGTTCATGCTGTCAGAAGGAAAGAGATGATGTTAGGAACTTGGAAAATGTAAACAAATAATGGTAAAAAAGCATAGCATGAACTGTTCTTGTTCTGGCAAAACCTGACTATCAGATGTTTCCTAGCGAGTTCTTCTGAACTGATCTTGATGGCTGCCAAGAGAGCAATGCCAAAGGGGAACCCAGAGCAACCACAGAAAGACTGGAATTAATTAGAGCCTGGGAAGGAGGGATCTCCAGAAAACAGCCTAGATTTCTGAGGAAATAAAAATGCTGAAAACCTGCCAGCAAAGACTCCTGACACGTGCATTGCCTTTCAGACTACAATTTTCTCCTTGACCACAGACTCGATAATTTCCAAAATCTTCTACCAACTCTTATCTTCATGGGTGGGGAACCTGACTCACCATCTGCTCTTCTTACATTTGCATCTAAGATAAATTATTTCATAGACTCCACTCCTTTCATCATTCTTGAGTAGGAATAACCAGGTAAAGAATTTAAGATTAAAAGGATGTTTCTTTATTTGGGAAGCCTGTAACTAGCCAATTGCTTAGAGAGGGAGTTGTGTCTGGCTGGTGTAAGTGATGTGAGTAAGAGCTGGAAAAGGAGGCAAAATTCACAATCCTCCTTAAGGATGCATGACCCAGAGATACACATAGGTTCCAGATGTTAGGATTTCAGCACAGATTGGCCACCATAAACCAGACTGAGCAGCAGTAAGGACACACTTTGTGTCACAGGATCTGTTGTAGTTCTGCTCAGGTATCATGGGTGGCTTGCTTTCCCTGGTTCAACTGTAATGATCCAAAGAGAGTAGTCTGGCTATTAGTCCCTCCAGTGATAAATTACTTTCACCCACCCAAGCACCACAGGAGTAGGATAGCTGGGTGGAGGAAGGGAACAAATGGGTGAATATTGGTGAGAGATGTTAAATAATTTCCTCCTAGACATCATTCTCAATTGGCCTTTTCTGCACTAAGCTGATCAGCAACCTCCTTGGAACAAGAGGGAAAAAAGACACTTTCCCAGTAGTCCCTATTAGGACATAGATGCCTCTCTGTTTACCATTGAGGATGCAATGTGATCAACTGTGGATACCTCTGGGAAGTTAGTGCTGGAATTGAGGAGTCTGCAAAAGAGGCAGATGTAATTGTAACTTGAAACAATTATCTGTGGAATCATTGCTGACCATTTCTTATTGACCTCTGAGGCCATTTGCTCACTGAAGACATGGATCCTAATATGGACCAAGATTTGACATGAACAAGAGATGCAAGCATCATGTTTAAGGTGAATGAGAAGGAACAGCAATTCTCTTGTCTGTTTCTAAGCTACCTGGAACAAGGGTGCATACTGAATATCCTTGAGTTGGCCCCCAGGGCCCCTCTAAAACTTGCCATTAAATTATAATTTTTAATGTGACCGAAGGAGAAAAGTATTAATTACATAGGAAATAATCATAATTAATTGTTGGTGATTACTTTTAATTAAATGTTAGTTTTGTTCTAAGACTGGTCATTTTTGGAGAGTGACTACCAGCCTGCCAAAAGACCAAATGAGGCTATAGGCTCAAAAAAGGGTGCATACCCCTGATGAAATTATTAATATAGAATTGAACTACAGTCTAAAGGGATGAAAACCATTATTAGATTATCTATAGGGAAGCAGTTAAGTGACATAGAAGGAAGAACTATTGGAATGTCTATTTTAGAATACTTTCTAAATACTCTTCAAAAATTATCAACCTGGAAAGAGGAGAAACTAGGATAGCAGTATTTACCATGCATAATCATTATATTTATATATTTAATTGAGCATATTTATTCCTATGAAGCTGGCAGAATAAACAAAAATGCTTTAGTCTATTTTTTGTAAAAATAGCATCTGGGTTTATTTATTTATTTTCCTGTGATAAACTTTCTAGAAGTTCAAACCCTGGTAAAAAGAAAGGATTGATGTGGTTGAGGTCGTCTCAATAACTAACTATGGATGTCATCTAAAATACACTTTTTGAAGTAGCCTCATCTTCTATAAAGACAGAAATTGGCTTTCCATTCAAAGAACAGTGAAGAAGCTTCATAAACTGCATTGTTTTGCATAAACTGTCAGACTCTTGCCCTTGAAAAAAACCTCTTGGTTTATGAGAATCAGCTTTCTAAAAAGAAGCTGCTTCTTCTACTCCTAATACGGTAGCATTATGTATCTGAAAGAAGAGCAGAAAAGACAAACTAGCATAGTAGGATATGGGTTCTAGAACTCTTCAGTCTCTTCATTAAACAGTTCACTCTGTTTCAGTTTTAGGTGGGTCTGAATCCTTTGCTATTAAAAAATTAATCACTATCTTTTGCTGGTTTGTTTGTTTTCCTACCTGTATTTATTCTCCTACTTGTTTTTATTCTGTGAGAGCCAGCCTGTCTGTTATGTTAAATATGTTAAATAAATTTTAAAAATGCTCTGCATTCTATCAGACCAAATTATCTTGTGTGTACATTTGAAAGAAATTCCCTGCCATTCTCTCATATATTTGTGGGAATTACAGAAAGCTGGACAGTTGTTTGAACCCCAATTATCCATCTCTTCTACTAACTTTGCAGTATTTATGAGCTATTCTTCCCCAAACTAAATCACCCACATTCTTAAATCTTATCAAGTATTATTCCTGCCTGAATTGTTACAATTCAGTTTCAAAATGAATGACTATCACATCTTTAATCCAGTCAACAAATGCAAAATGAGGGGACACCATCAACCATTACATGGAAAAATAAGAACACAAGAACATGCCCTGACCCTCCCATGATTATTATTATTAAGACTCCCTCCCCCTTCTTCAATGGGTAGAGCTGTTTGCTTTGAGCAAACTGTTACTTTGGATTGGTTAGGACATACAGAACAAGTATGAAGTCATGTTGTATAATGCTGTAGCATTCATCTTATCAGAAAATACTGGAAGCAAGCAAATGCATACAATTTCCAAATGAAAATTAAATATAAGGGTGCTGTTGGAATGGCATCTTGACATTTCACCAAGGTCTGAAAGGCAGGAGTGCAAATGAAGGCAATTGCATATCTTGCCTCAACTTTATTTTATTTACTATTATCATCCTCTCTGTACTTTGTAACTTGATTAATAATTGGCTGTTTCCAATTGTATATATACTTATTGTGGACATTGTACCTATTCCTAAATATTTTCTGTTTATTGTTTTGTAAACTGCCATGAGTCTGTATTAACTTGGCAGTATATAAACAGAATAAATAAATTACAAGCTGTTGTGTTATTTGCAGTAGAACATGTTTATAATCCACCTAATGATTTTATAATAGACCTCATACCTCTACTATCAGTAGATTGAGGAGTCCAAGAGTGACTGGCAAAATCCAAGTCGGGTCAGGTAGAGTGAGATCCTTAAACCAGAGTATACCCCCTGTGGAAAACTGCTGCTGAATTAAAAGCCCTGTTGAAAACACACAAACAATTGGCATATTATTATTACTGTGAATCTGGCAAATACTTTAGAGCATTGGTGTTGAACAGATACAGTAAATCTAAACTAGGAATGATTGCTAGCAGATTATGCAAAAAGGTCTAGCAATAGCAACTTCTGGATGTTGGCTCTCTCCTACTGAATCAGATCTGCAACCACTGGAGCTAGATCTACCAATGGGCTACACTGAAGCAATAGCTGAAAAGTCATTGCAATTTTTCTCTTAAATTCAGAGCTTAAGTTACATAACTTCAGTGAACATTATGATTACATGTTAAATATTACTCAGCAGCTTCAAAGGCAACTAGATCACCTGACATTCAGATACTACTATTACTATTACTATTCTATCTATCTATCTGTCTGTCTATCACACATCTTAATACTCCTGCTTCCTACTTCCCCAGAACAACAACCCTGTAAGGTGGGTTGGGCTGAGAGAATGTCACTCAGCTGGCTTTCATGCCTATATAGATACTGCCTTTGAATCAGTGTTGACTCTTTGGAACTGCCTGGACAAGTCCCTGCAGTTTTCTTGGCAAGATTTCAGAAGTGATTTCCCATTGCCTACTTCCTAGGGCTGAGAGTGAGTGACTGGCCTAAGGTCACCCAGCTGGCTTTGTGCCCATGGTGGGACTAGAACTCACAGTCTCCCTATTTCTAACTTGATGCCTTCCTTAACCACTACACCAAACAGGCTCTCTGTGGAAAGCTCATTGCTGCACCAGATAAAGAACTATCAATAATATTCAATGAATAGCATTTGCTGATTAACTGATGAATTATCTCATTGTTCTACCACAAGCATCAATGCACTTCAACTGGAATAATTATGTTAGATATTATTTATGCTCCTCTCCTCCTCATGCACTGGCTTCAATAAAAGATATTACTTTTTTTTCATATCTCAGCTATACTGTGTTTGATCAGAAGCTCTGCTTTACCCCTAACATTTTATTTAGTTGTATATTTATATATCACATTTATCTCCCTCTGCAATTATAATCAAACTCTTGGTGGCACACAACATGAAAACACAGTAAATAACAATAAAAATTAAGATTACAAAAACCTACAATCAAAAATACCAAAACATACAAGTTAGTTGGCATCTGGTACCAGCTCCCAAACATCCTCGGGAAAAGCTCTGGTTTTAGAAAACTCTGGAAGGTGACTAAAATGCACAAGGACCATTCCAGAGGGCCAGCCTTGAAGATGGAAAAACAGCACCTCCAGGCCTTGGCCAGCCATTCTGTCCTCCCAAAAATGCAGGACATCAGCTGCTTCTTCCAGCATGATCAAAGGGGTTGGGCTGATTTTCAAACAGTTAAATCTGATTTTTTTAAAATGTATCTGTTACAGTCTGAATTTAGCATTTTTGTTACTATACACACTTATATTTAATTTGCTAATATTATTGTACTCAGCAATCTGTACAAATATGAAAAATAATGATTATGCAATTTAAATAAAAGGTGGCCGCTATAGTTAGGAAGGCCTTTGCCCAACTTCATCTGGTGCTCGTTATGCCCCTTCCTAGATTTGGGACCCTTCAGTCAGTCACTCATGCTCAAGTCAACTCATGGCTCAATGACTGGAATGCACTTCACATGGGGCTGCCCTTGAAGACCACCCAGAAGCTTCAACTGGTCCAGAATGCAGCAGTGCAAGCAGTGATGAGCATGCTTCAGTATGCTCGTGTAACACCTCTGCTTTGCAAGCTGCACTGGTTGCCAGTTTGCTTCTGAGTGCAATTCAAGGTGCTGGTTATTATGTATAAAGTCCTACATGGCATTGGGCCTGGTTGCTGTCTTCCATAGTATCTGCTTGACCACTTCAATCTTGCAGGGTTGCTGCACTCCAGGTTCCATCTAAAAGGACCTCGGAAGCCCGCTTTCTCTGTAGCAGAGTCTGCCCTCTGGAATGTGGTTCCCCCCCCCTCCAAGATTTGGATGGCCCCCATTCTGTTGTTGTTCAGAAGAGTGGTAAAGACCTGGCTCTTCACCAGGCCTTTGGTGAGTGAGAGTGAGGCCTCTTGCTTCATTCCATCTGGTCTGTCGCACTTACCATCTTTTATCGATCTAATTTCTTTGACTGTTGTGAGCTACCCAGAGTCACTGGGAATTGGATAGTATATGTTTAATTAATTAATTAATATTACTCCATCAACCAGGGTAAATTCTGCCTTTACTGAATACATATCTGTATATGTAATTATAGTTATCTTGCTGTAATCATTCCCAGAATAAAAATAATTTAATGGTAAAGCTAACAAAATATCTTAAAAGAAACAGTTTTATTAAGAAAGAGACTAACTGAGAAAAGGATTTTAGAAATCACAATATATTTAAAGCAGTTCTATAAAACTATTACCTTCAGAATCTGCTCTGCCAGTGCTTAAGTTACGCAAAGCTACGGAAACGAAAACCCATACTGGAATCTGTACCCATATGAGCAGCGTTGCCTTGAAAGGGTGACAATTATCTCGAATATACAACTCTGAAACTATTCTTTTTATATTCCTCCTGTAGCATAACCTGGATGGAAAGACAAATAAAAGACAATTCTATAGATTAACAGCACAGTCCTTTGTATGCCTACTGTGGCTACTTCTACTGAGTTCAGCAGAACTTTAGTATATATCAAATTAAGTCTACCTTGACTTTAAACGTTGTGCTAGGAAGATTAGACATGTTTAGAATTAGAGTATATCTCAATATTTGTAAGGTAAAAAAGAATAGCACATTACATTAAAGCTACTCCTTGTGGAACTACAACCATTAATTTTGCACTATTTTTTTCTTTTTTTATTTATTTCTGTGGAAAACATTTGACTGATCAATGGCAACTACTTAGCTGTAGAAGGTCATTCAATAACATGACTGCTTTTTAAAATTTTATTTTAAGACTAAGGATGGCAGCAGAAAGCCTCCAAGATATAAATTATTCCTAGAGAAGTAATGGCTAATGACACACTATTTTTATTCTTGATAGTCACAATAAGTACAGGAACTGTAAGAACCGGTGTCTGAACTTATTTTATTCTTCCTCACTTCCCATCCCCTTCTTCTTAAAAGAGGTGTCTTTTATACTGCACACCTGAAAGCAGAGATTGCCTTGTTTAATTTTAATTGACTTGACAGTGACTCTGAAAATCTTTTGGCAGAAAAGCTGGGCAAATAAATGCTTCAGACAAATGTGTAAGTACAAACAATCTATATAGTCATATCTGGGAAAAGTTAATGTGAGTGTAAGAAAAATATTCTGAAGAGAAAAGATCAGAAAAAAATAGTTTACTTTGATCTTTATAAAATGATACAGTAATCAGAAAATGTACAAATGACTGAAAGAAAGTATAGAAAAGAAAGATGAAATCTCAGAGTGGGACCCACTGGCAACACATAACAGTAGGATTACAAATAATACAGGCATGTTGCAGATAATAAGTTCACATCTCAAAGTACCAATGACCAATCTGAAAATGAAGTACTGAAGAAATATGTTGGTATTTTACTGTGATTATTAGAGATACAATTCAAATGGTCTTACCTAGCCTCCTTTTCAGACCAATTGTACTGCTTTGCAGAAACAGAAACTTCATAGCGGAGCTGGTTGGCTAAGTGTTTGATTTCAGGCTGCAACTTTTCTAACTAGCTGAAAAGACACAGAAGTCTTAGATAAAGTACATTTTTCTTCTAAAGATTCATACTTTAATGTATAGGCTGATTTATACCTGGATACTTTGAGCAACAAGAATGTGGTATTGTAGAAACAAAGGTGGTAAAGTTGCCATGTATGAATCTTAAAAGTACAATGAAGGACCAATTTAACAGACATCCATTTCATGGACTTTGGATGCAATGGACCAAATTTATTTACTTAGTTACGAGTCTTACATGCTGCTTGAATCATAACTGACTCCCAGTGCTGTGTATATCTAAACCTACTACTACAATTAAAACAATACACAGAAATACACAACAAAGTACTTCAAGGACTGCTAAACAACCACATTTGTGTTTGCACTTCACCACCAAAGTAATGCACAAGCTGGCTGTTTCCAGAGACTATCTGGATAACTGGCGCAATTTATTTACTAATGTAAGTTATAGTTTTCACATGATTTGTGTTAATGGATATCTTCTGTTCAAATGGTTCACTAAATTGAGGTTTTAGTGTATGTAAAAAAGTACAGGCAATGTACAGGCAAAATGAGGATGTGTTTGAAGGGATATGCACAATGGCCTTCTGGAAGATGACAAACAGAGTAAATATACTAAGAAAAAGTGTTGCGCACAATAAAAAAAGGAAGATGGAAAAAAAGGGAGGGAAGGGGAGGGAAGGGAGAAGTACAGACATTTATCCAGACTAGGAGTCATTGCTAGTAGCTTACATGATTCAGTGAAACTAAATATCTTCCATGAATCTCAATGCATCCATATATGCAGATCACTTCATATATTTGATACTGCTATTTCTAGGTGAGGCAAACTGAATGTTACTCACCAGATGTTCAGGAGCTCAAGCTGTACTCACATGACTTGCAAATCCAAAAAGTCTGATAAATGAACATGCAGGTACCATGTTTCTCACAAGTACTTAAGAGTCTTAGCAGAATTTGGACTGCTCATACAAATTTTACTGTTTGTATACTATCACAACCTAAATCACTCAATTTTTTAAAAAGTGCATCCCACTTTCCTCGGAAGCATCACCTGTTCCTTTAATTCCACATTTCGTAGATACTGCACATTTTACCAGGACAAGAACCCTCTGCAAATGCTCAGTGGCACCCTCTCCTTTTAGAACTCACGCTGGCGAGGACGCGCTTCTGGAGGACGCTGAGAGGAAGGGTAAGGCCAGTGCGCAGGATGGTGGTAGCTGCCAACACGGTGGACCACCAGGGCAGCCCGGACGCGGCCTGCAGAGCTACCAAACCCGATTCCATCGTCGCGACTGGGACCGACGTAGACAATGTGTCATACCAGGTCCAAACCAAGGAAGGGTCTTTGAGGCTTTCCTCGACACCGCCGGCGGGTGTAGGCGTACTAAGGGATCGGGCTCCCCCACAACGCCAAAGGACGTCGAGCCAGGAGCGGGAGCGCAGCCCGTAGGCGACCCTAGAAGCCATCCTAGCGCCAGCAAAGGAGAAGGATGCCATCTTCCTCGTCAGAACGCGCATGCGCCCAGATGAAAGGCCGCTCTGTCGCCAAGGCGTAGGCCAGAGTTTAACTGGGGAATTCTGGGAGTTGAAGTCTACGCATCTCAAAGTCGCTAAGGTTGAAAAACATTGGCGTTGGCTTTTGAAACTTCCGGTTCCGGTTCTCGAACGCGCCTTTGCTTGGGCGGAAGTGCAGGACCATACGATTGACTGTTAGGTTTGTGCGCATGTGCGCGTCTGTGTATTCCTTCCTTTTCGTTTTTTATACCTGGAATCGCTTTGGATGAAGAATGAGGTGTTTTATTTTATTTGGCTGAAGGATGAGATTTAAAAAAATAAGAGAGACTGGATTGCTGTAACAAAGGCGAGAATAAGGTATTATATATTTTTTCAACGGGGAACGGGAAGTGGTGCCTTTGGTCTCAGGCATCAGTGGTGCTTACCCTGAGCCTTGATTTGAGAAAGCGAGGCTTCTTACAGCAAGGCCAAATGAGGCTGATACTGCGGGGAGGGCCACCCAAGAGAGATACATTTTTACTTTCTCTCTGCGATATATTGTTCAGTAATCCCCCTCCCTCCACCAGCCCCAAACTGGGGAAACTATTCTCAAGCATGGAATGAGCGGGAAGGGAGAATTGAACACCACCTGAGCAAGTCACGTTTGATAATTACTGTTTATCTCTACCATGGAACCTGCCTTATTTTCTATGCTGATGTGCAGTTTTGGTTGCAAAAACAAGCAGAAAGGAAAAAGATTATATGCATCTTCTCCCAATACCAGTTCAATCATAATAATTTCCAGAGGGATAGCCATGTTAGTCAGGGCTGTCTTAAAAGCTTTGTAAGCCCCAAGCCATTTTTTTTTTTTGTAAGCCTTTGTTGCATTGATAATCTGGATGCTTGAGGTTATAAAGGTATTCCCTGGACCTCTTTTCTTCAAGTAAGTTGCAGGGAATTTTCTTTTGTCCAAGAGCAATAGTAATGTTTTCAATTCAAGCATTCACTTAAATTTATTTACAAAAGTGATTGCAAGGTGGAAGTTTACTTCATTGATTCCCTAACTTCCCATTAGGTGTCGGTGCACTGATATTGAGCCTATTCCATGACACCTGTTTGGTTCTTGCATTTGAGACTTGAAAGCAGAATAAGTATCCGACTTATTTATTTCTAATGCAGAATATTGAATTCAAGTCCAAAATCAAATTCAGTTTTGCTATTTACACAAGTTCAGTTAGTACTGAACTAAGGCAGTAATTTCAGTGTCATGTCAAACAGTCAGTGAAAAACATGCAGTCATCTGTAGAGCTGAGCGTATGTAAACATTTTACAGTTTTTTGCAGTATTGTGGATTTGCTTTGATAATTAACTCTGATCTGTTGTATAGGTGTCAGATTTCTATGATTATTTAAAAATAAAATCAAGTACGTTATTTTTAGTAATTGATTTCTTTACCTTCCAACAGTTTTTATTGTACTGTCATTATAGGATTTTCTAAACCATTTAAAATGAAAGTATAAAATAGTTAATTCAGTAATAATTTTAAAATATTATTTTTATCCTTAGTTTAAAAATTCCTGACTGTTATAAGAAAACTCATGAATCTGGCTGTGGAAAAAAAATGGAG